CCACTTTACCTATCACGCCTTCGCCGTTCTGTGATGATCCCAATTCGTACAGGATGGGAGGTAAATACATTTGTTTTAATAAACCTATCTATTAGTACTATTAGTCTGGGGAGAAATTTGATTTAATGCTTAAAAAATTACACAATCTTTCATAAAAAGAATAATCCTTATGTGAAAGATTACTAGTTGGATGTTTTTAAAGACAAAACATTTCGTTGTGTTATTCAAATAATATGTTGAAAAGAATTGTGGGTTTGGTTTTCTTGCCTTCAACATTTTACCCCGTGATAATAATATTATCGCCTATAAGTTACTTAACAAATTTATTTATATTTCAGAATTCCTGACAAAGTATCAGATAGACAACAGGCCGGTGTCGCTGCTGCCGCGCGGCCTCACCAACAGGTCTAACTACTGCTATCTGAACGCGATACTGCAGGCACTCATCGCCTGCCCACCCTTTTACAACATGCTGAAAGCGCTGCCTTATCAGACGCGACGCGGAAAATCAAGCACACCTGTCATCGACTCCATGTAAATATAACATTATTTTATTCTTATTAACAAATAAAATTATTAAAATGTTGTAAATCTAATCTTAATATTTCGGTACACTGTACTCAAAGCTTTCATGAGAGCTTTTTATTTATTGAATATAAATTAGAGATTGACAATGATCCCACCTGATGTAAAATGTTATTTGCATTAAAATAGTCATGGTTTTGTTCGTTTTTTAAACTAATGCAATTATAAAATTAGCAATTTCAAGACACGTTAATTTAAAGTTATCCATGTCGATTCACGACTTCATTTATAATATTGGTATGATTTTCATTATGTTTGGCTTATAGAAACGTAAGTTATTTTAAAAGGTCCTGCAACTTTTTACAATTTGTGATGTGAAAGTACAATAAAAGTGTATCGCCAGGGTGGAGCTGTGCTACGAGTTCGGTCCGCTGGCGAGCAGCGCGCGGCGGCGCGGCGAGGGCGGCGTGCCCGCGGTGCCGGCCGGCCCGCCGCTCGACGGCAGCGCGGGCCTGCGCGTGCTGCGCGCGCTGCACTTCCCCGGCTCGCAGGAGGGCAGGCAGGAAGACGCCGAGGAGTTCCTCGGCTGCCTGCTCAACTCCCTCAATGATGAGATGCTGGAGGTAAACAAATTACCACTAAAACTTTCCCCCTGTAGATTAGGTTGATGGGTAGTCATATAACATGTGATGTGTGCTCCTCCATGTTCATACTAATTAAGGGCCCGATTAAACTATGGGCTGAAAGTCTGTACCACCTTAAAGGCCACGCATCGCATCTGAAGTTTCTCTAGTATTCCATATGTCCATGATTGTCGATGATTACCTTAGTGTGCCTGCTAATAGTTTGTCCAGTTCTCTTATATAAAAAAAAGTATTTTCAACTTCTGACTACAAGAAATGTTAAAATAGTGATGTGTCTTACTTTGAAAGCTAAAACGAAAGTTATTACTCTAATACCAGATTTATAATTTTTCTAACTATCGTAAATTCAAAAATTATGCTGTCACCTTTAATAATTCAACTTTTTTTTATTGCTCAGGTTTTAATAGATGTGCTTTGCCTTTTTATTTTATGTTATTCAATTTGTATATAAAAATGTTTCCAGTTGATGAAGCTGGTGGAGCCCGAGGGTCCAAAGGACGTGAACAACCGACCCAATGGCGTTGTGCCTCCGGAACAACCTCCCCCAGAGGAGGACGATGATGATGAATGGAAGGTAATTTTCACAATATATTATTAAAGTATTAGATTAAAAGTAATTAAGGGTAGGCAACGCATCTGCAATTGCGGATGTTTTCCATTTCGGTGGATTCAGGTGCCGCTTGCTCGTTTGCCACCTTATGTTTTAAAAAGTAGACNNNNCGACGCTCATGTTTACAAATTCGTTAGCTTAATCTTAATAGAGGTCAAATTTCTATGCTTAATTAACGCAATTGCTTGAGATCGAGATACATATATATGTGTGTGTTCCAGGTGATGGGACCTCGTAACCGCGGCGCGGTGGAGCGGCGCTGGGCGGCGCGGCGCACGCCCGTGGCGGACATCTTCCGCGGCCGCACGCGCCACCGCCTGCACCGCGCGCACCACCATGACGTCACGGACGCCGTGCAGCCCTTCTTCACGCTGCAGCTGGACATCGAGGTATACACCTACACTGAATTTAAGTTTTATACCCATACTAGCTTTGTTTGAGACCTATTACACGCGGAATCAATAAAATAAAGTAAGAAGCCTGTGTGGTCTTACAGATTATGTTCTACAACTATACCAAATTCATCGAGGTCCGTTCAACTATTAAGAAGACTTTCTACCAAGCATCTATCTAGACTTTCGCATCGCAAATGAGGAGGTCGCTTGCTGTTAAATATTTATACATAAAAAAAGAGATGGACATCTAGATGAAAGGATGTTTACTGTGTAAATAGGGACAGAGGCAAATTCATTTGAGGAGGCAATTGAATTTATCTTCACTTTATTAAAAATGCTAGGAAAAATGAGAAGCACTCAAATTTAGTCAACACTAGAATGAATGAAACCCCAAATTACACGCAACAAAATCTCAGAATATCCAAGTTTAATCCATTAATAATTATTCACTAGCGTTCGAACACGGTGAAGGATGCATTAGAGCTGGTCGCGGGCAAGGACACGCTGGAGGGGGTGACCGACGCGTGGCAGCAGCTGTCGCTGGAGGAGCTGCCGGTGGTGCTGCTGCTGCACCTCAAGTGCTTCCAGCTGGACGCGGAGGGACACACCGCGAAGATTGTCAAGAATATCGATTACCCCATCGACTTGAAGATTGATCCCAGTTAGTATACTAATTACTACTCATACCGGTTTAAAATATAGTATACTTATATATACTTAAAGGTCTCCCTTAGTGAGTAATAACGACTCTGAGTATGACAGTACAATTTTGTAATTATAATAGTAATAATTATAGTTTAGTATACCAGATTTGTAATGGCTAGAGTAACAATCTGTAGTTTACTGTCTTATTATCTATTATTTCCTTATACCATGATGTGTTTTATTTTTCGTCTCTGAATGTGATAGAAAATATCGCAATATTGTAGACAACAAAGACTGAGTTACTAAAAATAACTCAAATTCCCTTCCTATCTCTAAGCACATTTACACATAATATATTCATTTGCAGAGATAATGTCGTCCAAACTGAAGTACACTCAGAAGCAGCGGTTGTACAAGCTGTTTGCTGTGGTGTACCACGAGGGTGTGGAGGCTGTCAAGGGACACTACGTCACTGACACTTACCATGGACAAGTTGGCTGGATAAGGTATGTCACCGTTAAATTGTAAACTCACTATCATCTTCCCATTAAACAATAATTAATTCTACAGAGGGTCTTATAAATCTGTCATCTAACATGTCCAAATTCACTTCCTTAAACATATCCTGTTTCACTCATACATTTATATTTTCTAAGATTTTAATTTAACTTTCTAGCTATAATTCAGTTTTATTATTTACCTGTTCATATAAACTTTAAATTTGCTAGATCTTAAAATTCAGCACGAAATTGTTACCCAATTAAGAAACTTAACATTTTGATGTGTTATTGTTCAGAGTTTTTACAATGATGTTTATTATTTTTCGTCTCTGAAAGTGATTGTTATCACAACATGTAGACATATTTGACTGAGTTAACTATTCAATATGTTTTCTACACTGTCTCATATTAGTTGATACTAACATAGTAATTTGCTTCGCAGATATGATGATTCAACGGTGACTCAAGTCACTGATGCTCAGGTGCTGAAGCCGAAGCCGCCTCGCATGCCGTACCTGCTCATGTACAGACGACACGACATGCTGCCCCCGCACAGACCCACAGGGAAACCAGAATAAACTGGTTTCAATTGGAGTAAACCGGTGTCAACCGGAATTAAATCGGTTTGAACCAGTTGTAAAGCGGAATAAACTGGTGTAATCCAGTTTTATCGAGTTGGCAAGTGAAATACCAGTGAAAGTGATTGTTTAGTGTAACTGTATATGTAAACTGTGCCTACACAACTGGTTACTGCAATAACTAGTTATGTCTCTTATATGTATGTATATGAGACTCGTGTAATTTGTAAACCAAGATTTTTGGCGACTTTTCTTGTATTTATATGATTGGAATTTATTTAGTTAAAATTCTGGCCAAATGACTACTTTTTTAATCCCCATTTTTGTAGGGAAAAAACAATTTGATGTCAAGAATTGTAAATATTGTGCCTATAGAACTAGTTACTGCAGTGAATTGTTAAATAAAGTAGTTTTGCACAACGAAATTCTCACGTATTTGTATAGGTTTAAAGTGCAAATTACATTGTACATTTTTCATCTTTAATATTAAATTGCATATTGGATTTTTTGTTTGGTTTTATGAATTTTCATTGCAAGGCTTGTTTTATTTTTCACTTAATGTTGTATTATAGTGTAAATTAGAATTAGTTTTAAGTTAGGTTTACATTGTTTGGAAAATGTTTTTACGTTTCGTTTCGCCAAAATAATCTAATGGATTATGACATGTTTGATTGAATTTTAACTTGTTCTAATCAAAGAATGAGTGTTAAATTTGTAAATATGTTTTTTTTGTATATATGAGGATTTGGCAAAATGAGACTTTTTTGGTTATAAGGTTGATCTAAAAAAAATGTCTATAATTTTTTTAACAGTTACTTGAAACTGCCAAAGTATTTTTAATGTTAATTGGTTGCTCCACAAGTAGATCTAAGTTTTCGACAATATGGAATTGTAAAATAAAAAAGAATAAAAAAATGTATAGGCGTTACTTTCTATTAATAAATTAATATCAAAAATATTAAAAAAATGGACTGTTGGAAAGTACAAAGTTTTGATTGTTGTGATATGGGAAGTTGGTATATATCAAGAATGGAAATGTTTGTATGGAAGTGAATTTTTCAAGTAGATATAATTTTACATAAAGAAGAATTACATCTATTAAATTTTCTCAGGCCCTTGAAGTACCTAAAAACTTTAGATGCACTGCAAAATCTTGTAAATATTTTTATGCAAAATTATTTGCAATGGAATCGATGAAAACCACTAAAATTGATGGTATTTACTAAATTTCTATACAAATACCAAAATTAAACTTTCCACTTGAAAAATTTACCCTTAATGGTCATCTCATTGAGAGATCTTGTAATTTATTGAAATTACAAAAAAAAATTAAACATACTTATGAATGTGATTGGACCATTTGCATTGCACAAACATTTACATAAAACATGTTGCGATCTCAATTATTTCAAAGAGAAAAGAACGTTTTTTATGTGCATGTTTCGTCAATAAACAAATTTGTAGGCATAGATTTATAATCTATAGATATAGATATAGGAGCATAAAAATAAAATAAGGAAGCCTTTTGTGGGTGTTAATTAAATTCTAAAGTGGTGTTATTTTAACACAAAATGACTTTAAACTCTTGGTTTGACATATATGATGATTATATGATCTATAGATTACATATCTATGTATCACAATTGGTAAGGTGGTTGTATAGTGTTATGGTCGGTGTTTAGATATGGTTTATTTTATGTCATTGGATTTCGTTTAATTCGATTTGTTTGCACGAAATTATAATTAGACATAAATACAGGCATGTTTGATAAATTATATGCATTTTAAGTCATAAATAATTTGCTTTTTGGTTATATAAGGATTTTTAGTATGTATTTTATTTAAGCCACAGTTTAAATGTTGTATTAGAGAGTAGTCATACCGCACATTAAATTCGAAATGTTTTTAGTCAAAGAATTACGTAAGGTTGCCTTAAAATTGTAGAATTTACTTACAAAAGGCTTAAAACCTAAAACAAAACTACGAGAAACATGGAATTATAATAAATTTTGAAAATTTCAATATTAAGTGAGAGTTATATGAAAGTTTAATGTGAGAAAAGATCAGATGGTACTTTAGACTATGCTTTTGAGTTACATAAACATTTATTTTTATTATTTATTTCCAAATATTGGTGAGGAAATTCAAAGATATGTGAAATCAACCCTGACTAGTCGAAGGTTGACTATGGCCTAGTTAACTTGGGTAGTGCCCATGGCCTTAGTTGATAAAACATTTATTACACTATTGTCTATTTATCAAAAAAATTTCATCTACATTCATCTTTACTATTATTCTAAATCTGTTATTATTAAAAAGTTTGGCGTAAATTTTAAAAAGTATGAGAATATATTTTTTTCCTCAAAATTAAAATTAATTTTAATGTATGATTATAATTTATTAGTGATATGAAATCGCTCAGTAATTTTTTTTTCAGTAAATGTCCTATTTGTATATTATTGAAAACAATATATCGTTATATTTAGTTCTATCGATATATTTAGTGAGCTAATAAATTGTGCGTACATAACATGATACTTCAATGACGTCATTGATTATTTGTTATCTATTATTTGGTTGTTTTCTTGTGCACTGTCAAAATGTTTCGATGACGTCATCGTCTTGGTGTCATGTTATTGTGGTTTGGTTGTATGAACACCGGTCATCTCGCTGTTGTAACTCGGTGCTTTGATGGACTGGAAGCGATGCTGTGTAATGTGCCCTTTGTTTTGTGATATGTGTGTAACTGTACGATTGTTTGGGTAATATTTGATTGTATAATATTGTTACTAATAATTGTTAATTATAAAACATAGATGTTATCGTGCCGTTGCTATGTTTTTAATATTATTTTAGATATGATTCGAAATTTGGAAATTAAGCTGATTGGTAAAAAAAAAATATTTTCTTAATATCTAAAGCGGTTTAAATTTAATATTTAAATCAATGTAAATGTTCCACTTTTCTTTTTCTGTTGAATAAATTTCTAAATTATTATAAATGCAAACGCTATTGGTGTATACTAAATAAAATAATAAATTAAGCTCATTGTATAATTAAATTTATTGGTGAAAGTAAATTAGTGTAACGATTATCAATTATATTGATGTAAGGTAAATGATCTCACCTCGTCGTTTCAAAATTATACACAATGTTTATTGATTTAATTTTTCTTACTAATGTTCGCCATACACGGACCACAGTTTGCAGTGGACCGCTTGAAGCCGTCGTACGCAAGCAGTCCGTGTAAGACGGACCTTATTGTGCTAAAACGTCGCCAACCGACTGTAAACTTGGTCAATATGCGATCTGACTAGAGAAAGTGAATGAAAGTTTCTTTTCTCTCGACAGTTTTTAAAATGACTGAAGTTACTAGCGGTCGGTGATTCATTGACATACGTACATCGGTCCAATGATAAAACACTAGGTGGTATTTTATATGGAGAGAGTTTTTTTTATGTTATTTTGAAATGTAAAATTTTAATGATCTATGTAATGCTTTTTTTTTATCTGTAACTTGGTTGTTGTTTTTTTTTTGTATGGATTTTGGGTAGCTAATAATGATGTAGGGATGATCGTCAAATAACTAGGTTTTAATGGTACACCAAACTTGAATATGGAGAGCATTATGTTAGCTTTTTTCGCACAGCGATATAGCGGATAGACTATAATAAGTTTTAATAATAAAAATATGACGCAATATCGCTTAAATGTGCTATTTAAAAATGCTGTTTACAATTAGGAAGACGTTTTGTGAGACCTTTTATAAGGTACTAGGTTTTAAACCTGGCTCTATTGCTTTTTTACATGGTACAGTAAAGAATTTGCTATTTTAATATAAAAACATCCGTTTTACTTTTAAGATTCGTCGTCTTTTGAAATAATCTGTATTTTAAAGATTTACGTTAGTATTCTAAAATACGATCACAAAGTTTTTGTATTTCAATATTACAATATTTGTTATTTTTTATCCATCTTCCAAAAGGAGGTTGTCAATTCGTCTGGTTTTTTTAAAAGGCGATGTTGCGTCTTTAATATAGACCCTTAGATGTAATTTTAGTAACAGATTTCTATGGAGAGGTAAACGAATTTATGCGTAGACAGATTTTTATTTAAACGAACAATCGAAACTTCTGGAAAATTCTTTAGCACTTTAATACTTACATTGTCTATGGCAATGCACTTTTACTACTTTTATCATCTTTCATTTTATATGCGTAAGACTGAACGCAAAGTCCCCATCTCGATTTATTTATGTAGCATCACATTGTGTAAGTTTTTGTTAATACGTTTGTATCGTGTACGTTTACTTTACCGTCCATGGAACGTGTATGGATGTAGTTTCCACTGGTGAAACATGTGTATAAAATACATTGATATCTTTTTCAGAATAGTATGTCTGTAAAGTTGGATTATTGTGGACAGGTCTCGTGTCAAATTTTATGCCCATGTTTTTATGTTAATGTCCAAGCTGTGCTATCGATTTTATGGGTTTTAATTGTTTACTGTGCTGGTAGCGGTGATACATTTGTTAAAAAAAATTACCAATGCCAGAAAAATCGCTTTAAAGTTATCCTTGGTGTTTTTTTGATGGCATTGTTGGGTTTTGGTAAAACTTACAAATTGATATGGTTAATTTATAAACTGAAGACTCGGTAACGGTTTTTTTTTTAATCACAAAAATGCAATACGTTATAATGGAGTTTAAAGATTTATTTTAGATTCCGGAATGGATATACAAATGTTTTGAATGAAAATATTAGTTTTATTAATTAATGAACGTTCCTGAGAAATATTTTATTGTAAAATAATTATATGATCAAAGTAGTGAATAGTTTTGCATGTAGTGCAGCTTTTTATTCACAGTATGTCCTGTATGGTCGGTTTTTTTTTCGACAATGTATTTTGAAATCGATTGTCCTTTCCTATTAAGCTTTTCGCCGATATTTTTTTTAATTTATTTGTTAGATTAAGGTTTATTTGGCTTTGGTATGAGGGAGCGTAATGTGTTTTCCCATCACAATTTAAATGATTCGTCGTTTAAGTTAACTACTAGATGTATAAAATAACGAAATTCAATTTAAGTAAAATGTAACACTTTTAAGGAATTTATTTGTAAGGTTGAGTACACAAGTATTCCATTTGCACAAAATATCCGATATGTGTTTTGACCGTCTTGATACATGTATTTGCATTTATCTCGCTCTTTCACCATTGGAAAAATAGAGAGTTTGCAAATACAAGTATTGGCAGTCAATGACCACAGTGAAGGCTTTTTTTCAATCACGTTTCGTAAAAAAATTGATATCGACTGATTTGTATTACAATTCGAATATGCTAAAGTAATATCTAGTCGAATATAAAATGATACATATAAGCTAAATTTATCTTCATAAAAATCAATAAAAAGCAACGCGTGCAATAGATTTAGGGTCTGTCCCACCAAATTTTAAACTGTTTGTTAACAATCCAACGTGTAAAATATGCAAATATCGGATTTTATTCCCTTATCTGACAGTGACGTCATTTTGAACTATCTGAGCCTCAGTCAGTGGTGGGACAGGCTCTTAGATTTTAAAAAATGTCCTGGTCTAAATCTACATAACAATGAAATTTCAACGGTCTATCTACTTAGAGTATAATGTATGTAATATGCTTATTATTATTTTTATATGAGAAGTTATAATTTAAGTTACTATTAATTTTAGTGATAAGATCCAAGGCTGTATTAAAAAAGGAGTGTTTTTTTCCTCAACAAGGTTTACAATTTTTTATTTAACCTATTCGGAATATCTTGTATAAAAAATACTCCTGTTTGTACGTAACAGATTATAAATGGGAAAAAAACCCGGTTGCAAATTGGACGAACTAAACTCTGTTACGGCTGTTTCTATAAGTTGTTAATATGTGTGTATGACTAAATAAAAAATAATCCTTTATTTTGGTAACGAATTGGTGTTATGAAAAATTTGTGAATAAATAATGGTGTCATTCTGAAAAATCTTTTATTTCTTTGACTAGCTGTTACCGTGCGACTTCATTCGCATGGAAATATAAAAATTGTTTTATTGATTACATTTGTCAAATTTAATTGCAAACGTCAAAATGACATGATGACAAAGTATGGCAATTTTGCTTTCTTGATGTTGGCAGCAACTAATGGTCTCTTTCCCACATTACGGTTTTTGTACAAAATTTTACCCCCTAAGTTTATTGGCGTGAAAATATGTGTCCTAAAGCGTGACGTAAGTGTAGGGTTTCTTATTAAAAAAGAATTATTCAAAAATATGCTATAAAAGTGTGTGTTTACGCTTTATTGTAATAGTATAGATGTTGAATGCAAAATACAACCTCTTTGGCTGACAAGCAGTATATATACAGCCAAAGAGGTTGCATACTGGCCACCAAGGCATTTATCGTTGTCTTAAAAGATATATATAAGAAGAAGTCAAGATGTAATCAAGAGAGTTTTAAGTTTTGTATATATTTTGTGTAAATAAGTTTTAAAATAAAGATATGTTAGGTTAATAATAAGTGTTTTGTATTTTTGGCTGCCGCGCTGTCGGTAACAAGTTAAACAATAGATAAGTGGCAAATGTCAGCCATTTACCCGATCCAATGGAAAATACAAATCTACTCACAATCATTTGCTCAATTAATCAGGATTCAGGTAATTTTTAAAATAAAAGAGATGTAGAAAAAATAATTTATTTCTAAATATTGCATCATTTTACATCATCCACGATATTCTGAAAAAAAAAATAGCAAGATTAATGCAGAATAAACACCCATCAAATATTTCTTTTCTGTTAAATATCAAGTCAAAAATACTCCCAAATATCTTACCCTTACTCTGCATCGGAACACGAAGTAGAAAATGAAGAAAACGGGAATGGTGACTAGACACAGGCCCAGCGACACCCAGCCCGCGCTCGCCTCGAACGTCCACAGAGAACCCACACCCGTTATTACCACCTTGAGAAAGCAAAATTACTCGAGTTTTTTGCTATTTCATTGTATTTAACAGTGGCATTTCACGTTCAGCTAATTCAGTAACGTAATAAAAAGCAATTGCAATTTGCATAGTTACTCACTTATATTAACTTATTTTCTTTCATGAACCAATTTTATTAGGTTCATAGGAAAATTTCACCAATATAACCTTGCTAATTTGAATACGTACTATTAACAGTAAAGGTGTTAAAGCCCAACTTATCCTCATAAACATGCAGGGGTATTCGCCGACCGCAAAGTAGATCTCATCGCAGAATGTAGTCTGTCCGTACGTGTATGTAATAACGAGGGCGACCACGGCCGCTATCGGCGCGCGTACTTTTGACACCGGCCATGATATCAAGAAATTTAAGATGTAGAGACCACCCTAGAGAAAATAAAAACGTGGACAGTAGCTTTTATGATATGTAATGAAATTTACACACAGGCTCGTTAATTAATCACTAAGGATATCCTAAAGCGTAGATCTTTAAAAAAAAGCTAGCTAGTTTTGATACATTCTATGGAGGCAAAATTTTAACTAGCAGTTGAACTGTTAAGCTAAGATTTGGCATACAAACACAGTTTCTTGTTTCAACTGTGCGCATGTAGCGGACTTTAGGGAAACAAATGACCGGCTCAGTATGGCAGATAATTTTAGTCGATACAGAATCTTCTAAAATAAAGCATTCAAACCTGTGTACAAATCGTCATAACGCCAATAAAACAGAACAGCACACAGATCGCAACAAGGAAGGCCCACGAGATCTTACGAATGGAGCGACCCGTGAACGTAGACATGATTGTTTGTAGCAACAGAGCCTGTAAAGAAAACAATTATTAACTATTCTCAATTCATTTTCAAGAATACAAAAACTGCCAAATCTCAACATAAATGATGTCAGTGATTTTTTTGTCAATGTTTCTGTACAAGCAGTCGTTCATACCGTGGTGGATACAGAAAGTACAAATAGCGTGAAGAAGACGAGAGCCGACCAGAACTGGCTTCCAGGTATCCTCGCCACGTAGTCCGCCCATAGTATTATTGATGATGAAGAACCTGACAACAAAAGATTAATATAACCTCAAATATCATCGTCATAGTTCACAGAGGTAGAGTTCTGTGTGGGATTTATTATACAAAATATAATTCAGAAACAAACAAAACACTCAAACTAACTTTATGATTAAATATATAAAAGATGCTTGCTTTAATATTAAAACTGTTATATTGTCTTTCGATTACAGCGTAGACTCACAACCGCTCTTTTTATGAGCAATTTATGTTTCCACTATGAAGATTGCGACACCCACAGAAAATAGTCACGTTAGACCACACAATAACCAATTAGTGGAAAACGGGTCTAACTGTGTTCTTACCGCTCCATATGTTAGTATCATTGTCATAATCAGTGCGTAGTGCTCCGTGCGCAGCGCCGAGCAACAGCGCACTACCCATGCAGCTGGTCTTGGCAACGAGGAAGGTAAGCAGTGCGGTAGTTGCCAGCCGATGTGGCGCCTTCGGGCAGTAAGAGCCCAGCATCACCAGCACACCCTGGGATATCGACATCTGGACTAACGAATACTCGAGGGCGTCGCGCCATATCTGACAAAAGAACATTGAAAACTTTGAATATAACGGAAGAAAAAAGACGCGAACACGACCATTCTTGGAAGAATAATCTATTTTACTGGAATAGCTTCTATACTTTAGGATACGTTTTTTGCCTGTGTCAAATTTCGTTTAAATTCGTTCTGCAGTTTCTAAGTACCTAACATTTGTTATCGACCTCATTTCCGGTGTATAAGAAATGCATGGATATTAGCAAGAAACCAATGGCTACGGTTGTTGTATTGACTTTTAATATAAAAGTCCGTTTGAAAAAAGAGGCAACATCTCCTTGCTGACGTTTATTTTAATTATAATTATTGACCAGTCCAGTGAGGACAGCATAGATTAAATTCAATATATTTGCCATAGTAACAAAGATGCCTACAAACTGCTTCATTTAGAATACCTGCGTGCCTTCAAGTAACACGCTCCAGTCGCACTCATTGAACATGGCGGCGGCGCCCGACAGCCGCGTCGCGCCCAGCATGCACACTAGCAGCACGAAGTATGCCAGTACGTCTTTGAATAGTACCAACTGAAAGAAAATGATCACGTAACATCAAAGTAAAATCTAATCGTGACTGTTTTGCCTCATAAAGAACAATCATAAACAACTGGCTGTTAAAGTTCGCCAGTGTAAATATAGTTAAGGAACTAAATGCAATTCTATATTCAGGCAGGATTCAAATTCAAATACTTTGTATAATCTTACTTTAGAGAAGCTGTATATGCGTTTGAAAGCAACGAAGTATATGAGCAGCCAGCTAATGACGTAGTAGACGGCCAGCTCGGGTACGACACTTCCCAGCCCGCCTTTCAATCCGTCGCGTTTTAAGTTCAATATAAAATTACTGCGAACAGTTAATAGTTAATAATATTAATTACTGATCAACAATGTGTTAGGCAAACGTTACTTTAAATAAAGTTATGGATCGTCAGAGAAATCAAATTTCTTACCCATTTCTTCTCTCTGTAATTTACATTACTCTCCATTTACTTCCAAGATATCGATAGAATTGGGAAGATAATAATAAATCTAATCGCTAATCTAATCTATTACCATCTAGTTTTATATATTGTCAATACAAACAAGAAGAATGATTGCGCGGGAGTCTCACTGCCTTCCGGCAAAGGTCGGTGTCTGGCGGCGCAGGCGGGCTGAGCGGTGGCGGCGCAGTGCAGCCAGGGCAGGAAGGCGTGTGCTGAATGCACTAGCAGCGCTAAGCACCACGCGCTCACCGCGCCCGATACGAACGCGGTCAGCGCACAACACGCCAACATCGAGAAACCAACGCCTGGTAAACGTGGAAGATACGAAAGGCTACTCTTAGTGTAATATGAAAAAGTGTGTATTGGCCAATTAATTCGACTTGTTCTAACTTCATTCATATAAATTGTTAGACACTATGGACATCCCTAGATGATCTAGACTAGGTTTAGGGCGACCATAAAAGATAAGATCACTTTGTAGTTGCTTTCCTGTCTATTGTACATATTTAATGATTCTACCTGGCAACACACATTTACACCTTTCCTTACCTCGTGCGACCGGTGATAAATCCCAACAGTTTATCACACTTTTCTTCGTAACTATACCGAGAGCTAACTCAAGATACATGAGCGGGTAGCCGAAGATTACGCTCAGAATGTTGTATAGGAATATGAAGGGAATGAATTTTCTCATATCGTGTAAATAAGGGTGCCACCACACTTGCACTATCCCGATACAAGATGACATCACTAGCTGTCTGTAATTTATGTTGTTTGTCCATCTATCATTAACCTATGAGATAACAATAATTTTAATAATCATATAACATAATGAGTTACAGCATTAGGTTACTTGAAATCTTACCAAAGGATATTCTATTGTTTCAGATGAAGTAGAAGCGCTTAAAGTTTTCGTGCGTGAACTCTAAAAATCAATTAAAAAACATACGTACAGTTTAAAATCATGAGTTAAGTGTAACACTTAGGCATTTGTTAAACGGCTGAACGGATTTCTATGAAATTTGGCAAATATGTGTTACATAATCTGGATGAACACAGATTACTTAGCAATTTTTTGTAATTCGGCGCGAGCCAGAATCGCGTGCAACATCTAGTTTGGTATTCGACATCGAAAGTGCTAAGCGTGATTTAATCGTATATGTTCTGAAGAAAATTATATTAATTAATTCCTTTTTACAACGTACATACCACACTTTCGCTCATATTTTACAAATTATAAGAGTAATATAAAATATTCTTTCTATAAATATACGTCAAAATCAGTCGTAAGATGTGACATAAAAACGTCAGATAGGTCCGTGCTTATAAAACCTCTAAATACAAGGCAAAGAATAAAAATATACAATCTTACTTCTCACTAATAAACGTTTGGATGGATGGATATTCATTACAAGGTATCTCCAGAACGAATATGAAAATTGACACAAATGTACATAGTCTGAGTCTGAGGACATATTCTGGAAATAAGAACTAAGTTTCTCTTTTAATTTGGCGCAGACGAAGTTGGAGATAAAATCTAGTAATACAAAACGCAAAACCTTTTTACCGTACTAACGCGTATTTAAATTAAAAACTTACTTTAGTTTTGGCAATCAACGAATGGTTACTTAATCACTTAGTGTAGAATTATAATTTTTAATGTATACTAACAGCCTTACAAATAGACGCGGTATAAAGTTAAACTTAGGAATAAACTGAGTATAAGCAAAATTTGTACTAATATTTTCTTAATCTCAGTTTATTCCTATGTTTAACTTTAATACAGTTTATTTGTAAGGCTGTAAAGGTTCTTAGTATCCATTTTATGATTAACTGAGGCCGCAATAGTTGTTTGTGAGGGAAAGAGAGAGAAAAATGATAAAACAATTGTTTATTTCAGCTTATAACATAGCACACAATGTCCAACTATACACTACAACTAAATAAACTTGATACGCACCGAATTTGGTTTACAAAAATTAAATCAAATTCATCATAAATCAATAAACTTTTTACACAGAAGAGCGGGCGCACTTTCACTAAACTGTCGCACAACTGTCGCAATTGTCGATTGTATCGCAGTCCATTCAACTTTTTAGTCGCACAACTAAAAATCGAGTAGTGTACACCTCCATATAAGCTCATAGGAATCTAAGCGCGACTAAACAGTCGTGCGATAGTTTAGTCAATGTGCACGCTCTATGTATACAAAAAAAATGTAAAACTATAGTCTATAACTACAAAGAATAAAGTCGCTTCCATCTGTTTGTCTGTCCCTACGTATGCTTAGATTTTTAAAACTAGGCAACGGATTATGATGCAGTTTTTTTTTAATAGATACAGTGATTCAAAAGGAAGGTTTATATTATGTATAAAATAGTAGAAAACTAATGCTAATGCATTTTTGTATCAGTATTAAAACTGCGTGAAGCTAGGGCGCATCGCTAGTCGTTTTAGGTACATGACCGTTTTCGTTGATAACAGAGGATTTTCTAATGTACCTAAAATTACATTTTTAAATTAAAATAGTTAAGAAACAATTTATCTATCATAGACTATAGAGGAATAAAAGTGATTAAAGAATTTAGTCAATAGAAATTGATTAAAAACTATGAAATTCAAATACAAATTGATTTTAATTTTTTATGGTCAATTAATGTTGTATATACGCCTATATTTTTTTTTATAAATTTATTTACCTTTTTTATTATAATAGGTACCTTTACAATTTGTAGCTAAAAGTAAAAAAGTAATATAATATAATTATTGTTCACTTACATTATTTTTTACAGCAAATCTGACATAAAACAGTATTTATCTTTTATTAAAATTTTTAAAGCGTAAATTGGATTATGTTCTTATTTCAAAAAGCCTTTTAAACGTGACGTCATCAGTCACCAGGCATATGACGTAACTTTTCTTAACAAATGATTTTTATTCTAATTTTTTTATTTAACGAACTCTTATTTACTTTGCAATTCCTTCCAGCATTTACATTACTTCTATCATTAAGAGGCACATATTTTTACGCTATCAGTATCGCTTCTTTAATTAAAACTAACCTAACTTTTCATTAATGACAATTTAATTGGATTAACTAAAAATTGACAATTCAGTAGTAAAAAACTTAACAGATTCAAGAAAAAGTTAAATCTGTTCTACATTAAAGAAGCGATTAACTTAGAATAGTTAAAAAATAAAGAATTATTTCTGTATAACAAAAAAAAAACGAAAGTCCACACATTTGTAATACCCAAACACAGTATTGTATTAAATATACATATATTAAATAAATAGTACAGTAAACCTCAAATACTAAAGAGGTCCCCCGCTGAGGGCAGCGGTGCTAACCCTCCGGTGACATCGGGCAATCTGGACACATCCGGCAAATTGTCTATATGGGATTTCACTTCAGCTTTCACTGCATATATTTTCTGCAGTTTAATATTATATTCCTAAAACAAAATTATATACTTACTTACCGTTCT